GGTGGGTGGGGATGAAGAATTTCGGCAGGGGTTGACCTGAAATGACATTTTGCCGCTTCTGTTTTTCTCACAGCTTTCGCAGCGGGGTGAGATCTCCGTCCCTGCAACCCGCTCGCCCTCTCGCCCTTCAAATGCACACACGTGCGCCTGTGTGTTATTTCAGGTTAAGTGAGGTGGCTGCTTCAGTTTGAAACAGGAGCCATTGTTTCAGTTTTCGGGTCGCTTAACCCCCTCCTAACTGTAATAAACACTGTGATTAAGGACACAAAAATATTACTCTGGAGGAAGGGGACCAAAAGCTTGGAAAATGATGAAAAAAAACACTCTGATTACCCCTTTAAAAAATATGTTTCTTTAGCTGAAGCTGCTAAATTTGACTCACCTTTACACACTGGAAGGGTTTTGTGGTTTTTTGGGTTTTGTTTTTTTTTTTTACAGTGAATAAAGTGTTTTTTCCTCATAAAAACCCCCACCAACTCTCAGGTCGAGTGATGCAGTTCTGGTGTGTCACGGAGGCAGGGTTAGCAGGGTTCTCACTCTCGGGAAGGTCGGTGTGAACCCCAAGACATGAGACTTGGGTCTCGAGCGGGGCTCCAGGTGCCTGAAACCAGCACCTGGCCCCCCTCGCCGCCACAGCACAGGGCGGGAGGTTCGGAGGAGGTCTGGGAAGGGACACGTTTCACCCGGGGTTCATGCTGAGAGGGGTGCAGGGCTTTGGTCTCGGCTCCTGGAGGACTAAATCCCCTGCCCAGGGGACGTGGGGACATCGGGGATCTGAAGCTGGGAGCTCCTCCGCGGCCCGTCCCAGCCCGAGGAGGGATAGGGCAGGGAAAGGCAGGCAAGCCCAAGCTCCACCACAAAAGGTCTCCAGCGAGTTGGGGCACCGTGCCTCAGTTTCCCCAAGTGCCCCGTGGAGATAATGCTATTGCCACACAGGCCATCAGCAAAGCACTCGGAAACCAACTTCCACAAAGCTTCATTACAGGGGAGCTGGAGCCTTGGGACACCTGGTTTGCTGATAATTCACCTCGTCCGAAGGCAGGTGTTTAAAATAGCTCCTGTGACTCACTGTGCCGAGAAGGGCCAAAGGGTTTCAGACACCGCCTCGGGGGCAGCTGGATGTTTTCCTTGCGACAGGATACGAGGCAAGATGCCACCTCCGAGTCTCCTGCTCTTCGGGTCCCTGTGGCAAGCCCGGCCCCTGCTCCCCGGGCGGCTTTTCTCCTCAGTGCTCAACTGCGTTTTTCCAGCCGTGTCTAGACGTTTGGCTGTTGCTCATCTCCCATTTCCAGAAAGGGATGTGGAAAATAGGAACGTCCCTTTTGCTGTGGCTCCAGGCTCCCCTGGCCAGTCCTTTCTGCATGGCCAAGCACCTTAGCTGCGGATGGACGTGTACAGGAAGCCACAGGTGTGATGAGCACTGGCCCTTTGCGAGTCCTCAGTCAGCTGTAGGACTCCAGTGCTCCCAGAACGGGAGGTCCAACAGCTTGAAATCTCATCCCGGTCCTGCTTTATCCTTTTTTTCTGCTTTCTGAATTGTGGATACTTCACCTGCTGACACCGGGGAGCGATAAAAAGTTGTGAAAGGGAGATGGGAGAGTGATGCTGGCTCCGAATCGCTTCCCACTGGGTAACTCCTGCGGCTTCGTCCTCTCCTGTCACAGCCGACGGCCCCGAAGGGCAGTGAACATCCCCCCACCAAGGAGAAACGAGGGGTGAAAAGGCCTTTTCCTTTCCTCCAACCCCTGCGTGCAGTCCCCGTGCCACGATGCGATGGCGATGGGTGTCGTGGAGGGAAGCAACAGGCAGCCGATGCTGCAGCTGCCCGTGGTCCTTTCCCCGTCTGGGACACGGATCTGGCGGCTCTCAGCCGGGTGAAGGTATTACTGCACAGGAAGGGCTGGTGCACAGGGGATCAAACACGCAGCGATCCTTTTCCAACAACCAAACCTTGGATGCAGCCAGTGGCCCCGGCAGAACAAGACAGTATCGGGGCAGCGGGATCTTGCCAGGGGACGCGATGGCACCGTTCCCTTCCTGCAGCCACAAGCCGGGG